AAAACCCGCTTCGACAGCCCGCCCCCGTGCGCGTGGGGGACATTGCGGGTCTTGCGTACAGTAATCCGTTTTGATGTTTGATGGTGGAGGTAGGTGAGCGCGGGGTTTGAGGGCGGGGGGGGGGTTGTTGACTGACTGACTGACTGACTGACCTCGGTGGGCGATGTGAATGTGAATGTGAATGTGAATGTGAATGTGAATGTGAATGTGAATGTGAGGATGAGGTTGGGGGGCTGGGTGGGAGAGTAAGGTTGGAGTTGGGAGTTGGGTGGTTTGGTTTGGATGCTAGGGGGGGGGGTTCGGCTTGAGAGGAGAGGAGGAGAGGAGGTGTGGGTGGGTGGGTTACGGGATGACTTCCGAGAGAGGAAGGAAGGGAGGGAAGAAAGGAAGGAGGGAAGGAAGGGAGGGAGGGAAGGAAGGAGGGTACTGATTGGTTCACTATCTATCTATCTATCTATTTATCTGATCTGATGTGACCATCTTCTTGGTTCTGCATGTCCGCCCTATGAATGACATTCGCTATGTGGCACCGGTTGTCGTGATCGCTCGGATGCGATCCTACGCGAGAGATGGGTTGAGATCCTGATTGTGAAGGGGGAGTGATTCGCGCGCGCGCCAGCATGGATTTCCACATTCTCAAAAAAGGCAGCGGAGAGAGGGAGAGGCAGCGAAGCAAGATAGAGGCCGGGACGCAGACCGGATGAGGGATGTACGCCCTCTGACCTCCCTCTCTCTCACTTCCTCAACAAGGGAGCATTTTCAGCCGCCGCCTCGGCCTCGGCTTCATCGTCGCCCTCCAGGCGGATCTCATGCCCGTCACCTTCCCTGACCCAGTGGCTGGCCACGATGCTGAAGACGGCCACGCACGCGAGGATCCAGAACACCAGGCCCACCACCCCGGTCCTCAACCCGACACCGTACAGCCAGCCACCCATCGCAGGTCCCACCGTCCGAGCGGCACTGCTCGCACTCTGCCCGATCCCGTGGATCGTCCCGAGGACGCTGGGGTGCGGACTGCAGTTGTTGATGAGGATCGTCGTGGCGGGGCTGGCGAAGGTTCTGCCCACGACCCGCACCAGAAGCACAGATGTGAGTGCGATCCAGATGGGGAGGCCCGTTTTCTGGCCTGGGGGAGGCGTGGTGGATGGGATGAGCGAGAGGAAGGGAACGACTATGTAGACGACCGGGAAGCAGTACAGGAATATCCGCCACGAGCGGACGGTCCCCAGGCGTTGGTTGACGTGCGGGTAGAGGAAGAGCTGGAGCGTGATTCCGATGGAGCCGAGGATTGCCGAGGCGAATCCGACAGAGCGAGGGGGGAGACCAATACCACCCGTGAAGACGAATGGGAGGTGTGGATGGTCGTCTGGAGAGGAAGTGGCGGGGTCGAAGACGGGCGTTGAGAGGAAAGAGTACCAGACGCTTTGGAATGTTCCCATTGAGAGCGACATCAGAGCGTGGCAGAGTAGTGTACAGATTACATTGTAGGTGAAGATTCGTCGGAAGGGGAGCTTGTTCCTGTAACGTGGTGCGACGCGTTTGCGAGCTTTGGTGTCCGGATCATATTCAACGACATGGCTAATTTGCCCGTCGAGTTGCGCGGCGAAGACTGGTTTATATCCGTCTCTCTTTCCGCGAAAGATACGACGTATTGCAGCAGATAGTTTTTGACGGAAACTGATACCGCGATCTTGTAGATGAGCATAGGCTTCATGTGTCTAGGAAGATCAGCATATGATAAGCTACGGCTCGGAGAAACAAACCTCTTCGAGACCAAAGACGACTGCAAGTGCGGCACAACACAAGTACATCGCACTAAGCAGATTCGGAGGGGAGTAGGGAAACTTTTCAAGAAACCGGTTCCCTCCAAACCATGCTGGGTAGTTGGCGACCGGGTCGGAAGTAATCCCACCCATGATAGGCCCAATGATGGAGCCGATGTTGGCGACCATTGGCAAGATCAAGAAGGCTCTTGACTGGTACTTTTTCTCCCTCACAATCTCGCTGATCATTGTTCTCATCACACCGACATTCCCGTTCAGCGCGCCTCCCAGCATCCGAAAGACCAAAGCCTGCCAGAAAGTGGTCGAGAACCCAAAGCCAAGAACTGATATCATAGTTCCCGAAAGTCCAATGAGAAGAACGCGTTTCCGCCCTCCTCGGTCCGAGTATCTGCCCCATAACATGGCGGTCATGAGCTGCGCGGCGGCAAAAGACCCCTGCATGATTCCTGCTTGACTCGCAATAGTTGAAGCCGGAAGGCTCTGGTCGAAGGACCTCAACTGATAGAACAAGTAGGACTGGGCACAGGTATCAGCAATTGGTCCCCTGTACACGTGTAAATAAGTGGTAGGACAGCTTACCCGCAACGAAGTGTTTACCAAGGGCTCCGAGAACCTCGCAAAGACCAGAATGGCCAGTTGGCTCTTGTGAGGTAGACTCATCCAGGTAACTGCTTCAGCCTTCTGCACCGTGGGAGGTTTCATCAGCATAGGGTCTTCATCTTCCTCAATGAAGGACCGCCTTCGGGCCCGGTCGTATAGCGGTTCTTGATGTTGGTTTTGAAGGGCTTGCGCCTGGTAGTCGGTCCCGTGGGGTGATCGATCGTCGGACTGGCTGCTTTCTGTGTCGGAATTCTCGATTGTCCCGTAGTTCTTGGGTGACGTTGGCCGGGAAGAGCTGAACATCGTTCTTTGCATTTGTTGATGCCAGGCGTTTGGGAGACTAGGTAGTCTTCTTCCTCCGGTTCGAATGTCCGCCCGTTCGACTGAAATGCAGTTCTGTTGTTAGTTGAGAAAGGAGTCGGATCGGACACAAAGGAAGTCGAAGTCAATGTTGACGCTAGTGAAATAGTATGGACGAGCTAAGCTAGCGCCTCGAGCTTGCGAGCATGAGACAGCCGAGACGACTTATATGAAGTTACGGCGCTTGGCGAGCTCGACCTCTTTTCAAGTTCTCAACCTCTTCTCGCGTCTCGGTACTCTCTTCTCGATTGATTTTCTTCTGATCTCGCCCATAGCCACCTCCGCTTCCTCTGAAACACCGTTCGTGTACACATGAACATTGATTCAAGTCGTATCCCAATGACTGGCCCTTCTCGGCAATTCCCTCCGTCATTTCGAGATGGACGTGCTGGGCCTGGAACGCCATAAGTACTCCAACACAGCCTCCGTTATTCGCCTCGAGATTTGATATTGATACTCCGTACACAACACCCCCAGCCGAGCACCCGAAGCCTTGATGTATTGACGAAAGCGTTACCAATATCGGAGGAACGCAACATGTCAGACGTCCTGGCTGAACACCAAAGCTCTTGACCCGTGTTGCACAACATCACTTGATGGAGCAGTCGCTGGCGGACTTCAGCTCCGGCAGGTTTCATCGCCGCGGGCTTAAATGAAATGATCGTCAGCGGTGGCCGCAGCTCACCTGGAGATGTTGATGCGAGCCATAACCATTGCAGCTTCTGGATGATGGCTGGTTTCAAGGATAGGCTGTCTTCATGTCAGTGTGGCGCTCGAGTGGCGTACTTGTCAGCCCCGACCATTGCAAGGATGACGGGCTCGCCGTCTTTAAAATGACCACTCGGGGAGCCGAATGACAACTCATCTGATATGTTTCTTTCGCTTTTTTTTATCATAGGAGGCAGGAAGCAGCTAATATGCGATATGGATGCACCGGGGTCCTTTTTTCGGTACCAACACTCAATTGTGGACATGGCTTCCCAGGATGAGCTGCTTTGTTTGATGAATTGCGTCTCGAGTCCAGCGATAGTATGTTTTTGGATACTGTTGGCATGATACGGCCGAGGATCTTGAGAGCATCGGCTTGATGGTGGGCTGCAACAAACGCCGGTACCAGAGTCGGTACCAGAGCTTCCGATTTCGACCCGTGTCGCTTTCCCTGACTGTCATACGCCTAGGGAGCGGTCAAGTCAGCTACGTCTCGCTTTCGAGCTTGTCTTTCTCAACCTCTGAGTAGTCTAGGCTCGGGCTTGCGTGCTTGCACCGAGTTCGACCGTAGGCGTCTCTATTTATCGCTTACACGCCCTGAGCTGCGCTTGGAATATCCATGATGTTCCCTGGGTCTGGAATCGCTCAGACGACGGTTATCACCTGCCGCCACGGGTACTTTGGAACCAGAGTCAAGAGCGGACTTGAATAGCGCGTTGACAGCCCGCCGAACAGAAACAGAGTCCCGTCCTCTCAGGCCTCGCTACCCGTTCTTTTGTTGCTGGGTGATGTGTACCGCGAGCGGGACCGCGGCCAGTCGCTCTCAGGATCTTCGAGTCCATCCGCTCCGTCATGCCGTTGCAAGTATGAATGACGAGCAGAATTTGAGTACGAGTGAGCTTTCTGTCACGGGATGCCAAGCACGTCGGCAGCATCTCCAGGGCCAAGTCAACAAACATACAACGGAGCTGGGAAAACCGCGGGGTAAATATAATGTGTCGGTCAAATCTGAGATCGTCTCGGTACGGTATAAATCACCTTCACCCATCAGATCCTCAAAACTGCCGATTGGCCGAGGTCGGATCTTTACTGTATCTAGCTGCAGGTATCCGTCCTCCTGGGCGCTGCATTGGGTCGTGAGATACCGGTAGATAACGTGTTCGGGCTCAACCACGGTAAGCACCAGCACGTTCTCACGCGTCCGGGAACCGAGAGGCGCTGGCCACAGCACGGCAGCATTCCCGGTAGATGCCACGGAGCCGCGGTAGTCGACGGGTGGGTTCCTCGGCAGCATCACAACTGAACATTCTGTATCACTTATATAATCTACATAGGTAGACGACTGCAGGTAGAAAGCCTCATTCGTTCCAACGGTCCCGAGTCGGCTCGCTACTTTTAGGCGTCAGAACCCCCGACGCAGAATTTTTGTCTGCCTGCTCTGATTTATACCAAGTACAACTATAATCGCCTTGTTTGTGCTTTCGATATATGCTCTACTGTATGGACACGGAGCCCCAGTTAATCAGATCTGCCTTACGCGCACGCACGCATTCAGTCCATGTAGGTACCAAGGTGGGGGTTGCAACTTGCAGCTGTCGCTACTCTGTATGGTACTGTATACTACCGTACTGCAACATACATACCGTAGTAGCTACCGTACATACCCATACTCCGTACATCCAGAAGTTTAAAAGACGTGTCACCCGAACCTTCGTACCTTAACTCCGAAAGCTGAACCCTGCACCTTCGCCAGAAAGCTGTCTACCTAGTCTACTACGTACCTTACTTACCGGTACTTATCCTGCCCCTCTACTTCTCTAAGTACTACTTAACGACTTATCGATTTATCGACTTATCTCCTTATCTCCTCCCACCTACCCCTCTATCTATCCATACGTAACTCCTCAGACCGAGCCCGTTGAAGCACAAATCCCCTCCTTGCCAGGCCAGGCCAGGCCAGGCGCAAAAACCGCTCCTGGAGGATTGCAGGCAGAGAAACGTGACCAAGGACCAAAAAACAACGCTATTATTGACGGAAGCGAAAAAAAGAGGAGAGGAGAGTAGCGGTGAACACAAAACCAGACCCCCCCTCTCCCCTCCCCTCCTTTCCTCTCAACATCTCGACCTCCATCTCCATCCGCCCCCGTCCCGTCCCGTCCCATCCGTCTCTTCACCCCGCAGGGCCGCCCCTCTTTGCGAATCGCCAGGCGACATACGCAGCAGCACTACCACCGCCAACAATAACAACAACAATGACAACGACAACGACAACAACGCATACCTACCTACTCTCTCCGTAAGTACGGAAGTAGGGGTATCTAGGGTCCCCTAGTGCGGGTCGAGCCGCCGCCGCGGGCTGATCGCTTTGTTGTCACCTCCACCTCCCCTCCCCTCCCCTCCCCTCCCCTCCCCCACCTCTCCCCTCTCCCACCAAGAGCCCTCTGGCGGTGTGGACAGTGAGCTTCAATCAGGACGTGCAGACCAGACCCAGTGCAGGAACAAATCCCCCCCGGCAGCCCAGAACAGCCGTACTGTATGTACGAGGAGCAGGTGCCTACGGATACCTAGTGAGTGGACTTACCGTATGCCTTGGTGCACCTCCATTACTGGCCCCATGCAGGCAAGAGGAGACGGGTAAATGCTGTTTTGTGTTTCTGTGAAGGGGCCATGGGAGCGCTTGGCCGGGGCGTCTCTCTCTCTCTCTCCCTCTCTCTCTCTCTCCGCAGCAGCTTAAGAGGATGTTGGTAAAAGCCCGTCTCGGTCGCTTGATCGATCGATAATAAATGGGTCTGCCACATGGCAGAGAGATACGGTAGCCCAGCCAGCTAGCCAGCCAGTGCAGTATCATCACCTTACCCCCCCCCCCGAAGCAGGAGGAGCCTTTCCCATATATCTTGCATACTCCCCCCCCTCCCCCGTTTACTTTTGCTTTTACTTTTCCCCTTGTCTCGCTTTCACATACTTACTACTACTACTACTACTACCATCTATTCCTCTCTGCTCTTGCGCTTACTTTGGTGGAAAAAAAAAACCCCCCAAACCAAAACAGTACTTCTCCCATATACCCACCAAAACCTTTTCCTGCTACCGGTACATAGCAGCAGCTACTTTTACCTACCTAGATACCCCCTTTCCAAACCAAAACATCCAACAATGGCTGCCGCAGTTCTCCAACCTCCCCAGGGTCTTTCCCTCGATCGGGAGATCATGGACCCTTCTCCCATGTCTCCGAACGCTTCCAGACACGGCCGTAGTAGGCACGGGGGAAGCGTGTCCAAAAACGCCAAGGGCCGGGGCCGAGGATACAGCGTCGTGGACGACCGGGAGGTACTGATCTCCAAGGCCCTCACCTGGCTCCTGAAGAGGACGATCGAGGCGGGCGAGGAGCAAGGCGAGGGGGAGGAGAAGCTGGTAGCCGACTCCGACGGCTGGGTCGGCTGCCAGGAAGTGGCAAGTTTTCCCCCCATCAGTTGCCATCATCCCTCCCCACACATGTCAACAACAACAAACGTCTAACACGCCTGCCTCCTCCAGCTGAAAAGGTCCAACCTCGCCTCGCTCGAAGTCACATTCCCCGAGCTCAAGGCATTCGTCGAATCCCCGGCCTCGAAATCCCGCTTCGGCCTGAAGCTCCGGCCAGACGCGAAGGAGGTCGAAGACGAGGAGGAGGCCGCCTCCGCCTCCGTGTACCTCATCAAGGCGAACCCCTCCCCGGCCGGCCCAGCGAGCCCCACTTCTGCCACAACCCCCAAGTACACGCCCATCTCCCTCACCACCGAAGACCTCCCCGACTTCGTCGTCTACGAGACATCCTACCCCAACTACCCCTTGATCCTTGCCTCGGGGGGGATCAAGCGTGCCGGCGGCCAGGACCTCCTCCAGTTCGCGACCATCGTCGTCCAGGAGGATGGCTCCGAGGTCAGAGCCCCCAAGTCGGACGCGGACGTGTCCATCCACATCAACCTTCGTCAGGTCATGGAGGCTGAGCCCAAGATTCGCTGGGCACGGACTGATGCCGGTACCGTCGTGACGGCTGGCGATGTGGACGGTGGCATCGCCAAGGTGAACTGGAAGAAGGTCGTGGCTCGCCGACCGGATATCGGTGTTCTGTACGAGAATGGGGAGGTCAGAAAGGAGATCCCCATTGGGCTTCGTGGCAAGGGTGCCAAGCCCAAAAAGGGAGGTAAGGGCAAGGGAAAGGGTGCGGTGAAGGAGATGAAGGCTCGTAGCGACGACGAAGACACTGCCAGCGATTAGATTGCTGTTGTATCACCAGCATTCGGGTTTGATACCCGGTACTTTTAGTTGGTCTACCATTGAAACACCCTGGCATATAGGTAGAACCATGAGATATAGTTCAAGGTGGCAGTTTGTCACTGCACACACCAAACCCCATTCCGTTCCAATTCCTGGGTATAATCCGTCCATCATAACTCGTCATCGTTCTCGTCATCCTCGGTCTCGACATCGTACTCTACATCATTACCATGGCTCGCTGTCCCAGGCCGAGCTTCCTCTGCCTCGACCCTTGAATCCGAACCAAGAAGTGCGTCGAGGTCGGAGTCCGTGTTCAAATCTGCTGCAGCATTTTCCATCTGCTTCACCCTGTCAACTCGAGCCGCCCCAAGCTCCAGCTCGGAAAGTCTCTCCTGGCGCTTCAGATAGAATCTCTCCAGACAATATGTCCTCTCCTTCTGGGTCCAGCCTTCAACCAAGAGAGCGAAGTCCGTGGTCAAAAATCCAAATTCTTTCGCCATCGTACAGAATTGTCGGGCCATCACATCCTCCGGGGGGTTGTAGACATGGTTAAACTTTCCAGGGCCCGCTGTCAGGTCTTGTGAGTCCGCGAAGAGCCTCCGCTCTCCATACTCGACATCGTTTCCGGTTTCTATTGCACGACGGCTGAGCTCTGCTTCAACCTTAGAGGATCCCACGACTTCGGAGTTTTCATGCGTGTACTCCACTCCTGCGGATGCTAAAATGGCCTGGATCGGATCCGCCTTCGCTCGAGACTTTGCGTTCTTTCTTGTTGTTAAATCATCGCCTTCTGTTAGAAGCGCAGCCAATTGACTCATAGCAGCGTCGGGATCATCATCATTGTCACACCTTAAAGGATTATCGTCATCATTCGCTGCGTCTTCGGCATTGAAATCCAATATGTCAATTCCTTTTTTGGCTTCTGCAACATTGGTTTTATTGACGATGTCCCGAAGAACAATATTATCCGCGTGGTAGGCAAAGAGGTTATCCAGACCAAAGATCTCGCCTTTTTGGTCCTTGTTGTTCTGGACACCCTTGAAGTATCGACGTTCAGTTGAGGCAGTGTAACCAATGTTGGCCTGCTGCTGCTTGTATATTTGACGAGCATATACAATCTCTTCAACTGTGCCGGCAGAGACCAGGCGATAAACTTCAACATCTCGTAGTTGGCCGATGCGATATGCTCGGTCCTGAGCTTGCAAATCATAACTTGGGTTCCAATTCGGATCGAAAATCACGACTTTATTCGCACTAGTAATATTCAGGCCGACGCCTGTCAACTTCAGCAACGAAGAGAGAAGAATGACGGGGACTATAGCTACCTCCTGCCTTTGTCGATATCAAGAATACGAACTGGTTAGGGTCCGTGTTGAAATCGTCAACTGTTTTTTGTCGTTGATCATTTGGCATCGAACCATTCAAGAAACTGACGCTGTAGGCAGTGTTATTGAACAAATGTTGGAGCATCCTGAGCAACTTCACGCTATGCGAGAAAATCAACACTTTGTCGCCTTGCTCGTGCCAATGCTTGAGGAGCTTCTTCAAAATCACCCACTGAGAAAGGGGAGTGAGCTGAGAGCAATGCCAGATTCGAATAGAGCACATACCTTCCCGCAAAATTCCGGATTTGAGAGGGTTGCAAGGTTTCCCCGATTCGCATAAAGGGTATCCCAGTGGTCTGGTAGCATGTCTCTCAGCATGTCAAGATCTCTGTTCCGTTTCTCGGGTGGATCCTTGTCATTGGGTAGCAAAATAGCTAGATGATTCGACAGCTTCTGGAGCTGGTTGATAATAGGAAACACCATGGCCTACCAAAGAGTTTAAAGGCCAGGTCAACTCCATGCAAACGAGAGGAGACTTACTTTCCAGGTGGTATTGGTTCCCGGTAGAGTAGAAAAGCAACACCAACCGCGCTTTTTACCCGTCTCGCCACAATCACAATCCTCAGATGAAGTTCTGACAATATCAACAACTTCACTATCGAGGAAGCGTTCGTACGCTTCTTTTTGGAGATTCGTAAGAGGGCAGAACACAACTTTGTCGGTCTTCTTGGGGAGTTGATGGGCGATGAGAGACTTCATACGGCGTAAAAAGAATTGTGGCAACAAGTTATCACGTAGCTTTTCCGCAATCTGTCTTCCTTGCTTAAGTTGATGGTTGGTAGCATCGTGACTGATATATTAGTCGATATAGTGCAGGCGAAGAAGGTGACTTACGACTGGCCGATTCTCAAGGGATCAGAAATGCTGGTCTTCCAAGTCGACAGAGGGCCGAATTTCCCAGGATTGGTCCAATTTAACAAAGTCCAGAACTCTTCGTACTTGTTTTGGATTGCAGTTCCGGTCAGCCCGATCCTACATAACGCGTTGATCTGGTCCATGGCCTGAGTCGTAGCCGAAGATGGCTCCTTGAGTTGGTGGCACTCATCAGCAACAACAACATCCCATTTTATCTGGTTTAGCTCGTCCATATGGTTCCTATATGTATTGTAGGTTGTAATTACAACTTCCAGACGACCTGACTTTGCTGCTTCATGGACAGCTTTTTTTGCTGCGACAGAACCGTGAAATATGTCAGCATGCCACCACCCCCATCTTGTTAGTTCGTTTTTCCAATTCTCCATCAGAGACCCTGGGCACACAATCAAAGCACGCGGGTACCATGGCTTGCATGGCGAACGTCTCATTTTACGCATTCGCTTAGCGTCTCGTTCATCTCCAGTTTTCCCGAAGGCTACCGTCAAGAAAGCTGCAACTTGGACTGTTTTACCTAAGCCCATGTCATCTCCAAGTATACCACCTGACACCGTTAGCAATACGCCGAGCCATATCATAATTCTTGAAAGCGCTACCTTTCTGATACACAAAAAGTTCATGCAAGAACCCAACACCTGTGACCTGATAGTCCCTTAAATACTGCGCAATGGAGGCAGGTATGACTCCGGCAGAGTGCGGCAGCTCGATGTCCTTGTACTCCCTCGATGTCTCCATAGTATCAGGGAAATCAGGACGTTCCGCAAGCTCGGCCAGCCGTTCATCGTCGGAGAAATCGATGTCCTCGTAGCGGGGGGGTACTTTCAGGCTATCCTCATGGTATTTCTCGTAGTCGCGGTCGAACTCCCTTCGGCGCTCCTTGATGTACTCGGGTATGTCCTCATTCAGCATCTCGTAGTCGGACACATCCCCCCATACCTTCTCCTTCTTCTGCTTCGACGGCTCGCCATGTTTCGCCTGCTCCCTGATTTCCAGAATCTGCTTTTCCTTGGCTTTCAGTTTCTTCTTCGTCGCTGCGACGCGTCTCCGTTTCAATTCCTTTCTGTTCTTGAACTTTTCGTAGACATCATCCTCGCTGTCGTCCGATAGAATAATCCGCTCTCCCGCCTTGCGTTTCCCCTTCGCGAAAGTAGAAGGCGCTGTACCTGTGATTTTGACATCGAAGTCCGAGTCTGAGTCGGATTGCGGCCCATTAACGCCTGTGGGATGTTAGGGGGGCAGCTTAATGGCGGGAGTTGACGAACGGTCGATATACGCGTCCGCGTTCATGATAGCTGAGCCGTCTCGGGGCGGTGGTGGTGACGATGAGACCTCGTCTTCGTCTGCAGTCTCCTCGACTATGGAATTCTCCGCGCGGGCCATGCTTGCGCGCTGCACTGCGGGACTGTATGTACGGATTGATATGTTCGTGTCGGAGGTTTGTCGATGTCGCGAGAATGAGGCGCGGTCACTGGGTTTGGATGGCATGGCTTGGTATGGCTTGGCAGAGTGGTATCGGAGACAATATGACGAGTCTTCTATCTATTTATATTTTTTCTTTTATCTTCTTCTATCTATTTTGTATTATATTGAGCTAGATGTAGATCTACGGCTAAGACCGTAAACTGTTAAAGATGCGGTCACTTGATTTAAAAGGAATACGTTGATTAGGTGCCTCCATTTGGGATCGATTAAAGCGTCATGAGGCCATAAGGCAGAAACAGGCACACACGCATTAGACAGCCACTCGGACGCCGAACCTCCGACGGAGCTAATCTCAATCGGGTATAGCCTACATCATTCCCGCATCAACTACTCCGTAAACGATTGACTAATAAGCGCGCTTATAAAATCGGCTAAGTCGCTAAACTCCGATACTTAATATAAAAATTCGAGTTCAAATCGAATTTAAAGTTTCGCTCGTGATTGATTTGATTCGAATATCACGTGCGAAGCTCGTTAAGCGGCCGCTAGCTTCGACTAACTAATCCTTTCTTCTTTTAACCAAGGCCTGCTTGCTAGCACCGTATAGTAACAAAAAGAAGGCTAAAAGCGGAAGTTTGAAGAGCCTTACGTGCACGCTCGAATCAACACGTGACGTAACAATAAGCGTAAAGCTTTTTCAATATAAGTAATAGTTTATCTCGAAGTAAATACACGTTATCGATAAAAAGCCGAAATATCTTATAATCAGTTAAATTAAAGAAATAAAAATAAAGGTAACGTAAAAGAAGTCGAGCGCACGTGCTTAGTATTATAAAAAAGCTAAAAATAGTTTTTATTTCGTTGAATTTGCTTAAGTCAAACGGCGAAGGAAGTAGCGAGAAAAGTGGCGAAAGAGGTGGCGGAAAAGGTAGCGGGAGAAGTGGCGAAGGAGGCTGTGTTATGCGTGTATGCCTGTTTCTGCCTTATGGCCTCATGACGCTTTAATCGATCCCGTTTTACCAAGGGGGCGGGCGGCTTGAAATTTGAGCTTGAGCTTGTTGGGCCTGGGCAGCACACCAAGAAAAAAAAACATCTCATCTTGAAAGATTGAAATACATTCCCCAGCGATATGGAATTTGTTTTGGGAATTCACAGCTCACGCAGTATCACGATTGGGAGTTTTTTATTCTTTACAGGATCAGGCTACTCCGTTGAGATTCATGTAATCGAGTGGAGGAGATCTGCGTCTGTGTTGGCGGCCCGGTGTCGGAGAACGTGGGAGGAGAACGTGGGAGGAGAACGTGGGGTTTCTCCACCTTGCCGACGACGTAAACTCGGAAGCGCTTCCTGATAAACAGATTCGCCACCCAAAGCCAATAAATAGGCTTGCCCGAGCTCGCGTTGTTGATCGCATGCACTGTAAACAAATACGGTTGCTTTAAGCGGATTCTTACCCGGCTGTACGATGCGCCGGCTCCGATGGTAAGGATTCGGCTACCAGCTCTTCGATACCTAGCAGAACGATGACTGTGAACGAGTACCGGTACACCGCTTCTCCAGTCACTCGCTCTTCTATTCCACCCCGTCCAAGCTTGGAACACCCAGAGTCGATCAGACCTCCCTATCGCACATTACCAGGCCCGCCTCGGTGTCGGATTCGGATACCAACTTCTTCAACTCCACGCCACAGTTCTCCCGGTATTGTGAGACTCACGAGCAAGTTCCATCAGCCGAATGCCGTCCCGCGACGTCTGTGGATCCACCTGCAGCGGCGCCTTGCGTCTGATGGTATCAGCCAAAGCCTCATAATATCCCTGATTGAAGCCGTTCAGCGTCGGGAATTTGCCGCTGTACTTCTTCGCGGCTGGGTCCAACTTCTGGTTCTCCGAGTCGAATTCCTTATACGTCGTGAGTGTGCCGTACTCGTCCTCGGGGTTGACGCCGAAAGCTGCGTCGGTAGATTTCATTCCCGAGAGAGTCTGCCGCTCTTGGATGTCATCTCCGTACTATTGTCAAATAAGCTTCAGAGGCATGTGTGATGAAGTGTGTGAGAAGGAATGCTTGCCTTGACGTAGGAACCTTCCGTGCCCCGGACGAAGTACTTCAGCGGCTGTGGCATGCATGCGATGATGGTCGTCTTGACTGTGACGAGGAGAGGGCTGTCGTATTGCAGAATCACCGTAAAGGTGTCGTCGACCTCACTCTCGATTCCCCTCAGTACCTTCAAAAACGCCGTCACAGATTTGGGTCTGCCGAATAGTACGAGAGCTTGGTCGAGAGTATGCGATCCTGGCACCCGTCAGCTTGTCGACTTCTCACATTAATTCTCGAGCGTGACCCACCGAGTCCGAAGAGCAAACCATCGCCCGGGGTGTACTCCTTGGCCGAAAGATACTTGATCCAGGGAGGGTTCTCGAAGTCGTAGTATATTTGTGCTTCCGTAATCGTGCCCAGCGCATTTTTGTCAACAAGATACTTGAGTGTCCTGAAGTCACCGTCCCAGCGCCGGTCTACGGCACACCTGAGTCAGTACTCTGCTGGGGCGAAAATTAACAGCATACGTACTTTGATAGACTGTCAAGATCACACCCTTCTCCTTGGCCAAAGCAAGGAGTGCGTCGGCTTCCTCGCTTGTTCGCGTAAACGGCTTTTCCACCACGACTGCGAAGAGGCTTCAATCAGACAACGCTTCAAAGAATAGGCATGAGATTGCGAAGACTTGCCGTGTTTTCCGGCTTCTATGGCTTTTTGGGCAAAGCTTGCATGCGTATCTGGGCCCGTGGCCACAATCACTAGCTCGATGGCAGAATCGGCGAAGAAGTCCTCTAGCTGGGCTATTAGCAGCAATCTCTATACATATCCCGGTAAGTGAGATTTCCAATGAGATTATCTAGGAGTCTCCATAAGAAGACCTCCCCCTCAAAAAAAGGTCTGCTGACCTGCGGTGCGATAGTGCTTGGCATCTGGGAAGTCGATAGTACAGTGGCTTCCTGGCGTAGCATTTCCGGTCGGGGCTGCGGCTCGCTGCAAAAATGCGTATACTTTGAGTTCCTTCACCGGCAAAAGATAAGGTAAGTGGTAAGTCTTTGCTGAACCCCCATAGCCGACGAAGCCAACTTTGGTCTGAGACATGGTAGAAGATGGTTCGGATGTCTTGAGAATGTTAAGCGAGATGGAGTACAGAATGGATATCACAAACAACAGGTTTGTGGGGAGAGCTTCCTACTTATGAACGATGAATCGACGGTATATTTGTAAGTATGTATTCTGGTTCTTGCCTCTGATGATATTCCTTTTCGATATTAGCTATACGGAGTGAGAAAGTATGAGGGTGACAGGTCCACTGTTATCATGCAAGCGTGCCGAGATAGCCAGAACGATCAAGCGGTGCTATCATATGGAGTACTCCGTAAGTACAGTAAGTGCTACTTCACAAGGTTCGACGACTGAACTGACTAGTGTCCTACGTAGCCGGGGGTGTACCCGCTGTCAAGCCAAGAGACAGGCCGGGGAGTAGCGGCGCGTTGCCGACCCCAATAGAAGCTCCCATGATTTGACCTCAGACTGTGCACTCCCCAGAGTAATGCATGAAATAATGGTAGTGCAGTGCAATACCGAGGCTCGCTTCGCACCCAAGGCTTTTGTATTCGGGCCTTCAATCAAATTGAGCTGCCTGGGTTCGATACCCGGGGTATGAGCCTCTACCCCGGATATGGGAAGCTGGTCCTCCTCCGCACCTCCGCACTTTGACAGACTTCCGACATGGCAACCCTGGCTACCGATGTATATATTCTCTATACGGAACTTCACAAAGACGGTGCTTGTCCAGTACTCATCGTACTTACACATCTCTGCGTCGTTCACCGTCGCCTTTCAGCTTCGAAATCAGCTTGAACAATCTTCAATACTAGGACTGTCTCTCGGAGCAGTCAATCAATAATCATGGGTTCCGACGACGCCAAAAACAAGTATGTCGGCGCAGCGCTTGCCGCAGTCATGCCCGTAGACGACAAACCTTGGTATAGAAAGCCCAATATGGTCTATCTCAACTTCTGCCTCTTCAGTCTTTTGCTTCTATCTTCTGGAAACGGCTTCGACGGGTCGATGTTGAACGGCCTCCTCGCTCTTCCACGGTGGATGGAGTTTATGGACCATCCGACCGGCTCCTGGCTCGGATTCATCTCCGGTGGTTCCAATCTGGGATCGATATTTCTGTTTCCCATCATCGCGTGGGCTTCCAACAAATTCGGTCGCAAGCGAACCATCTTTGTGGGACACATCATTCTTACTGTGGGCGTGGGTTTACAGACGGGAGCTACCAATCCCGCCATGTTCGTGATAGCTCGTATCGTCGTAGGAGCTGCTTCGGCATGCTTTGGTGGCTGTACCCCTCTCTTGATGACGGAAACTGCATACCCTGTCCATCGAGGTATTCTCACAGGTCTCTACATGTGTGGCTGGTATGTCGGTAAGTGGACATTCTGCAGCACCAACGTGATAATTTTGCTGATCAGCCTGCAGGATCCTTCTTGGCTGCGTGGGCCACATTCGGAACACGAAACTATGCCAGTGACTGGTGCTGGCGCATTCCCTCCGTTCTTCAAATGGTTCTTCCAGTCTTGGCTTTGCCAGGACTATTCCTAATCCCCGAATCTCCCAGGTACTTGATCTCGATCGAGCGTCACGAGGAAGCTCGCGCTTTTCTGGTGAAATATCACGCCGAAGGGGACGAGTCCTCAGCTCTGGCTGCCTTTGAGTATGAAGAGATTAACAGGAACATCCAAATGGAGCGCGAATTTGCAAAAACTACTTCGTACAAACAGATGTTGGCCACCCGTCCAAACCGCAAGCGAACGTTCATCACGTTGTTCGTAGGCATCTTTTCGCAGTGGTGTGGCCAGAATGTCGCAGGCTACTACCTATCTCCTGTTCTCAGAAGTATTGGTGTTGAGACCGTCACGAAGCAGACCCTCATCAATGGCTTCTTGCAAGTCTGGAATCTGATGTGTGCGCTGACTGGAGCTTTCAACGTCGACAGAGTGGGACGACGATTCCTGTTCTTAGCCGCAACCGGGGGCATGCTCGTTTCCTATATCTTGATCACCGCTCTCGCGGCGACATTCGCTGAAGGCGGCTCGAAAGCTGTCGGCACGGCAGTCATCCCTTTCCTGTTCCTGATGTACGGGTGCTATTCTCTGGCCTTTACACCCCTCATGGTGGCATACCCGGTAGAGATCTGGCCTTACCAGCTTCGTTCGAGAGGTCTCGCCACGATGTGGGTGTCGTCCGCCGTCGCCGTCTTCTTCAACATCTTCGTTAACCCGATTGCTCTCGAGGACATCCAATGGAGATACTACCTGATCTTCGTCTTTGTCCTCGCTGGCGGTGGCATAGTCATCTACTTCGTCTTCCCGGAAACCCGGGGCCATAGCTTGGAGGAGATGGCTCGCGTTTTCGGTGACGAGGATGCCATGGGTTCGTCTGAGGACTCACTCGCAGAGAAATTGGCGACCGAGGATCGGTCAGAACACCTTGATGATGTCCATACCCCTTCTGAGAAGGCAGCATAGCAGAGTCGAATGGGTTCCAGCCAGTGCGGTCTGGGATTTTATCTCTATTTTCAAGGATGTGCTCAGGATAGGGAAGCTGGGGATAGCATATGGCCTTACGCATTATCGAGAAGTCCCACAAGGGCCAATAAGATACATTTGAAAAAAAGATGAAACCGGTGCTTATCAAGGCTTGCGTAAGATTGAACCAGAGAAAAAACCGTGATATGATTTACCGTTCTCAGATCGATTAAGACGAGAAAGTATTGATGCCTCAATGCGTGATTACCGTTCTCATCTTTCAACTGAATCAATCATCACATCCCTAAAGCCTATACAAAATGGTGAAAGTCTCAATGTAGATTATAGCCTGCGTTACGATAGTAACGGACGTTTCCAGGAATTTGTTGGTAGTGTTGGTGGTGGTATGGTATCACGTGATAGAAATCGCGAGATTACGCAAAGCTATTCGGGCCCAACAATAATATATTTTCATGTATTATACACTTTGGATTAGTAGTAGAACTCAAACCCTTAGGATCAAATTCTTCACCGTATGATCCTCAAGGCTTTCGAGCTTGGCCAATCTCGAGTTACGTATCGTATTCCTGGTTCATCACTATCTGAGCGATTCACGAGATCAAACGCCAAACTTAGCCGAGACCTCCTTTTCGGCTAGATAGGCGAGCTAGATAAGCGAGGCTTATCTACAACAGCTTAGGCCATGTAAACATTTTTTTCTTTTCGATACCGAGACCTCGGAATTGGAACAGAAGGGGATGCTTGAGTTGCAGCTAGCTGTCTTTTCATTGTTTTGAGTAGATCTGATGATCAGATGGCCAAATCTGGATGCTGGACGTTGGACCTGGGCTCAGCGCCTGCCATGGTTGCGCCAGTTGCGGCAGTCGCGGCAGGGCTTGAAAGCTTAATATACAACGTCACAAACCCTGAGGGTAGGGTAACCAGGGGGTTTAAAGTGGAGGTTTTAACTTCTGAGGCACACGCAGGCTGTAGCATTTCCGCGGGGGGGAGTGGTAGTAGTTCTGCGGCTGTCAGCGGCTATCGAAGGGTCTCGGGGAGTCTCGGGTCTTGTTATATTTGGCAAGATGTCGGAAACGGGCCTTGCATTTCGGGGCTCTCTCTGGCTTACTCTGTACGTACGGAGAAGTACATACAGTAAGGTGGATCAATCACTGCCCACACCAAGTGAGTCGCCATCCGCTTCAGCGGCTAACCTTTACACCCCGCGCCGGAGGTAAATGAAGTCGCGTCTTCCAGGTGAGATAGGCCATGGCTTTAGAAGCTGTGAGAAACTCGTACAATACCTACATATAAGTAGTGACAATATTCCTCTTACAGATAAGGTACAATCTTTAAGGCAGCACAGTCTTGGCAATTAACAGAAAAGTACCATAATCCCTCCGCATCAAGATGACCTCGATCAAACCCCTCAGTCAGCCATTGAGCACCGTAAGTTTCCACACTCCACTCAGCGCCCATCGATACCTCACGATAGAGATACTGAGATATCGCTCCCAGGTCGAAGAGATCGTGGCGCAAGAGAAAGCCCTTGCCCTATTACACTTCACCTCGGAAGATGCCTTCGAGCTCGGCGTCCTCATCCGCAACCGGCTGCGCGACATCTCGGACAAGCCAGCCGTCATCAACATCGCGCTGGCCAACCGCCAGCAGCTGCTCTTCCACGCGACGTCACGCTGCGGCACCGTGCCCGAGAACGACAATTGGGTCCGACGCAAGCGGAACGTCGTGCTGCGCTTCGGGATGAGCACCTGGGCTGCGCACATCATGTTTGACAAGGGCGACGAGGAGAAGTTCAAGAAAATGTTCCAGCTGGGCGACAGGTCGGAGGACTATGCCATCCATGGCGGAGGCTACCCGGTTCGTGTGGTGGGTGTCGAGGGGCCGGTGGCGGCGGTTGTTGTGAGTGGCTTGGCGTCGGAAGAGGACCACCAGGTGATTGTGGAGTGTTTGCAGGAGATGTTAACGGCGCAGAAGACGACGCAGAAGTAGGAAGCAGTTATACGTTTATCTGTTTCTCCATGGCCATGCCCATCCGTACGAACATTCCAAGTGAGATAGATACCCACTTAAGAGGCATCAGGAGTCGCGTTCCCACCACGGTCCGCTCTCATAATCATCTGTAGGATCTCGGTATCAAGCCTGGCATCTTCGATGGTCGTCTTGACCGGTTTTCCCAGCTTTACCCACTCGTAAACCTTCTTCAACTCAATTGTGTAAGCGTCCTCGTATGTTTGCCGAACCGTTGTCTCCTTGAGCGAACCATTTACGCTCTTCAATACACGAAGGGTAATAGGAAGACCTTTCACATAAGGTGTATCGTACTGGATGCGAACTATCTTGTCTTTTCCGTATACTTCGATGTGTGCGTCAAAGTGAGGCACAGAATGGAGCCCAGACTCATAGCTCACCGCGAAGCCGGGGTATTGAAAGATCACGCTATTTAGCTACTTTTAGGGCATATTTCGAGGTAAGGGCAGGTTAGGTAGGGACAAAGACACATACCTCCAAAATGGCACCCCGGAATAAACACCCAGCACTGACTGAGGCATGCCTAGAGCTTCTCTCATGGCTGATATATCGTGCGTGCCGAGACCACTGAGAACTCGCCACATCATAGTTGAGGAATCGTCGACTGGAACACTGCATTCGACCTCTAGAGCCTGATGCACGAGTCTTGTGGCTCTCTCCTTGCGGTCCAAGACATCCCGTTCCTCATAATCGTCGAACGATTTGGGAAATGTGCCGGACTGGCCAACAAATACGCTATTGGGCCCAATGATATCTGGACACGGCCCTCAGTACAACTTACGTAGAAGTTTATAGCCTTGGGTGGCAGGGATACATACCTCGGACTCTCGCATACAGGATCTTCTCAATGCCTCCGATCTCTTGGACGGCGGCTTCAAAGGCTGGGGCGTATCTCCGCATGTACCCAACCATAAGCCTGCCCCTCGAGCTCCCCTCCGCCGCCCGAATGCGATCCATGTCGCGGAGATTCAGCGCGAGAGGTTTCTCGACAAAGACGCACTTGTCGTGCTGCAAGGCAAGAATCGCTTGCTCGCTGTGGTACTCGTCGCTGCTGAGCACGAAGACAACATCAACGTCTTCGGAAGAGCACAGCTCGCTTGCGTTTTTGGTCGTCTTGGGCGGCATGCGGCCGAGAATCTTGCCCTGGCAATGCTCGAGAGCACCGGTGGATACATCGCAGAGGTAGGTAATGCGGAAATGGTCTGATAAGAAGCTCAGGGTTGGAATATGGACGACTTGAGCAACTTCACCGCACCCGATGAGTCCAACTCGGACTTTGGTGCTACTGGAATTCATCTTGGGTGTCGACGAAGAGCTTTCAGAGACAACTCATAATAATGGAACAGAATAAGGGAAGGCTAAAGATTACCGACAGAGAGAAGAGGAAGAGCTTTGTATTTATTTAACGTCAATCAGTGTTGATCGGTCAGTGTTGATTAGCCAATGCCTGTGAAGGTTAACGTCCTAGATTCCAGTAGTCTACGGTGACAATGAACCCCTTCCATCCTCAGAGTTAACATTCCTAGCACGGTGATACGTACGTAGTATTTACAACCAACTACATACAACATATACATATAACATATATGGCATATATAACATATAGACTTTCGCTTGACACACGGTAGACCCATGCACTCGGCCAAGATACACTGTCTCGGTAATCTCTTCTGCCAATTGCAATGCCAATGCCAAGGTCTCAGTAGAGTCTACGGAGCTCCCGCACTCGGTCCGTGGGCTTTCCAACCGAGACTCTTCCTCTCCTGTCAGATGCCGGCTCCCAGATTCAGATTTCAAATCCCCGATCCCCCATTCCCCATTCCCACTTCCCACTTCCCACTTCATATCGACGGCACTTTTCCCGTCTGGTGCTCTCTCCTAGCCACACTTCCACTCTTGCCAGGTCAGTCAGTGGTTACCTCTGTCAACGCGGAGTAGCGAGCGCGGGGTATTTACAAGACCTACCGGTACCCGTTTACCCTCCGCCGATCACACTCCTTGGCTATATCGCGTCGCCTGATAAGAGAAAAGACGGAATCCAGTCTGAAGTTCATTCAAGTACTACCGTGCGTACTTTGGATTCCCCCGAAACTCCCCTGGTCTCATCAATCGAGCAACACTGTTCTAGCTGTGCCTCGTCCCCAAGTCCAAGTCCAAGTCCAAGTCCAAGTCCAAGTCCAAGTCCAGGTCCAACCAAGTACAAGTCCGGGAAGTCAAGGCATGTCTGCCCCATACATCGATCCAAGTTTATCCGGACAAGCAGCCACAGGCCCTACTCTCACTCCTGGCTCATCCGAGCCCGACACCCGCGAAGATGGCCCAACCTCTAAGTCGAAGGCCCGATTCAGGACCATGGCTTTTCCCCGAAAGCGCGCTGTCACCGCCTGCGATACGTGCAGATGGAAGAAGACCAAGTGTGGTAACGAGCGCCCAGTATGCGCATCTTGTGCCAAAAACGAGTGGCCTTGCTCCTATGATCCGCGTCTGGATCATGCCTCGTAAGTATTACTTCCCCCAAGACTATCTATCTAGACTGTTCAGTAGCAGGCTTCAAGTCGGACTTTTTGGGTATGCACGCTAAGCTTCGCCCTAGCTTCGATCCTGCGAGCTTGCTTATCTTGGAGAAGCTGAACTTGACCCTGCAAAAGCTTGGCGATCTCGACCAGGAAGTCAAGAGCCAGAAGACCTCCCGAGTTATCGATGATCCGAGGTTTACCGCCAGGACGGCTACGACAAGCTCCCCGAGCGATGTAGCCTTCAACGCCACTCCGTCGTCGTCGGCGTCGGTCGCACCGTCCGATTGCCTCCAAGTGCCTACTGCGTTTGCATCCGCCGAAACAATCCTGAGTTGGCCCGTCTTCAATAGCCGTTGGCCACGCAACTGCTTGTCCCAAGAGCTTCTGATTAATAGCCTCCCCACTGCGCATCGCGATCCAGACTCTGTTAAACGCGGCCAGGGCATTAACGAAGAAAGCGTTCCAGGTCTCGTGGAACGCTTTCTACAGCTGGTACATTCGAAGAACCCCGTGTTCCACACCCGACAGATACGCGAGGCGGCAAGGCATGTTGCCGAGTATGGTATTGGTTGGGATGCCTCGTCATGCGTTGTACTGCTCGCCTGTGCCTTGGGTGTTATGGCGCGTCCATACGACCCGTCACCGGAGGCAGGGCTCCTGAGCGATCGCACTTCTCTTCTCGAAGCCTCTCAACTCTTGAAAACGAGTGACATGTTCTACCAGGTCGCGCGAAAACGAATTGGACTCCTTGAACCCAGTATCGTGGCAGGTCAATGCCACATGCTTGCAGGTATCTACCTCATGTATACTCTGCATCCGCTCGAAGCTTGGGCTGCATTCCATCAAGCGGGCTCGGTTTACACACTGTACCTGAGAAGCAAGGCTGCGCTTCAAGAACGGAGCAATGGTATGGATTTCACGCCATCCAACTCCGATAGACGTCTCGAGCAACGACTGTACTGGACGGTCTTGAAGTCAGAATGTGAATTCCGCGTTCAGCTCGACCTCCCGCAGTCAGACCTCTACAAGCTTGACTATCCATTCTTATTTCCTAGTCCACCGAGTCCTAGTAGCCCCGTCGCGAGCCCAGAGGATCAAATAGGCGATCCGGGGTCAGTCTCTGCAGCATCAACATCGTCGCAGCTCCATTCTCTAGTTTCAGCCTCCAGTCCCCAGCACGCCGAAGAACAGACATGGTTCTACTACCTGAGCGAGATCTCATTGCGGCGGATCCAAAATCGCGTCCTCAATGCCTTCTATAAAGAAGATCATCAACACTGGCTTCAGATGGACCCTGCCAGCATGATCAGTGTTGCCGAAGAGATCGAGGCACAAGTAGACACTTGGTAGGTGGCGATTCCGCTTCAGTGAGAGCCAGTCCAAGTCCATTCTTCTCACACCCACCAGTCACGCCTCACTACCCCTTAGCATTCGTTTTGACGGGCTGGAGGAAAAGACCGACGAGCTACGCCACATGACCCAGGGCCGCATCGTGGAGATACGGCGTCTACTCTATAGACCCTTCCTCTACTATGCAATACATGCCCCCCATCAAGTAAGAATGCGTTGGGACTTGACGAGCACGCTGAAAGGGTTTGTTCAGAAATGCCTCGCAGCCCACCAGGCCCCGGCGGGCATTGGACTGACCCACCGCCACCACGGCACCTGGTATGAGCTCTGCGAAGCCTTTAGCATCGCGATGATACTGCTGGCTGCGCACATGGCCGAACTTATCACCATAAATTTCCAGTCGTTGTCATCACCCCAGCAGGCGGAAGATCTAAGCGACAATCAGCAGTACGCACGCACCCTACAGGTTTGTGTCGAACGGTTGCGATACTGGGAGGCAGAAGCGTCACCAGATATTGCGTTGGCGCGTAGGATTATTGAAGAACTGTTGGTAACACAGCGGTTGGTGCACCAGTAGATAGTTTTATTGGCCTTGATGCAAGAGCCTATCATATTCTCGCTTAGCCAAGCGAGCCCCTATTCCCGATCTACCTTGCGACCGTCACGAACACGCGCCGCCCTAACTACTGACTGCATGCACGAGTAAGCCTAGAGCTTGGATGATATAGATGCTAATCGATATATTGACCGCCCGCGATTATGGCTGTGGAACAAAATGTTCAATTATCCTGCGGATACACCAGGCCGCCCTCCTTCCGGATCCCATCCATCAGCCTCATCATCCTCAGGCTCTCATCCAACGGCATCACGGCGTTCTCGGTGAGCCCATTGGCAATGTCCTGCGCCACAGCATCCGCCTCCCAGATGAAGCCCAAAGCCCCCTCGGGGCGCTCCACGTTGAACGTCCTCACCTCCCTCTGATCCTCCTCCCCAAACCCGGGCTGCGGCCCCTCCACCACGCGGAACCCATCCGGCAAGCTGCCCGCGCGCCCAAAGATCGTTATCGTCCCGCTAGAGCCCTCAATGCGCGCAAAGTCCCCCGCGGAGCGGTAGCGGAAGGTCGAGGACAGGATGGCCGTCTTGGTCCGGCTGCCCCCGCCGGTCGTCGTCGGGTACTCGAGCACGATGACGTTGGACTCGTCGATGCCGTCGACGATGCTGAGCGAGGAGGCCACCCGCGCGAGCGGCGGGTGCGCCTGGCCGACCTTGAAGTCGCCCATGATGAGGGACGCGTAGGTCAGCGTGTAGATGCCGATGTCGAGGAGGGCGCCGGCGCCGAGGGCGGGGTCCCGCAGGCGCGACGTGGGCGGGAGGCTGTCGAGCGGCATGTAGTTGCCAAAGTCGAAGAAGAAGCGCTCGACGTCGCCGATGGAGCGCTTGTCGATGAGCTCGGAGCGGAGGGCCGTGAATAGAGGGGAGAAGCGCGTCCAGACGGCTGAGGAATGGGAGGGTCAGCATAGTACAGCACAGGCAAGCAGGCAGAAAAGGAGGAGAGAAGAGAAGAAAAAGAAGGGGAAAAAACACGATCGATCCGATCCCAAACCAACCTTCCATGACAAAAACCCCCTTCCTCCGCGCCGCATCAACCACCTCACGCGCCTCCCCCTCGTTGATGGTAAACGGCTTCTCGCACAGGACGTGCTTCCCCGCCGCGATGGCATCCAGACAGTTCTTCTTGTGCAGCGAGTGCGGCGTGCCCACGTACACGACATCCACGTCCGCGGCCGCATAAACGCCCTGGTAGTCCGCATACACGACGGGCTTGGGTGCCCCAGCACCCTCCTTCCCGTGCCACAGCTTCTCCACGAAGGCGTTGCCCTTCTCCAGCGAGGAGGAGCCGAGCGCGGCGATGGTGTGTTTGGCTTTTGGGGGGCTCGGGGAGGAGGCGAGCATGTCGGTGACGAACATGGTGGAGATCCATCCTGTGCCTGTATTTTGTTAAGGGTTGTTGGTCTTTTCTTCTCCTTTTGTATCACTAGGACCTGAGAGGAGGAGACGTTACCTAGAATACCCCATCGGAGCTCTGGAATTGCCGTGTTGGTGTCGGCGGCGATGCTACCCATTGTTGGCAAGCAAGGAATACGGGTTGCGAAGTCGACCTTTGGGTAAAAGATGATTGCTCTCGTGCCCTCCCTTTCTCTCTCTCTTTCCTCTCAGTAAATGAATATGACCCAGCTCAAGAGCAAGGCGAGGATTCAATCCTGACTTACTTACTTACTCACAAGTGCGGCTGCTGCCTTCTCTATATATAAATCAGGGAGATAGTTAAGTAAGTCGAAGTGTTCGTTCGAAACGGAAGGAAGGATATGCAATTCAATTCTCAATTCTGTCCAACAGAGAAAGAATCTATTCCCAGGCGTGACGCGAGATCTTTTCAAGTAAACAGCAGCAGGACGTCACTTCCCTCTATTTAATACAAATACTCCGTAACAACCAAGTGGGCATGCATCACGTTATCCACCGCGTACGTACGGTAAAGTCCCCGCGGGGGTAGGATTTCCTCCGTAGGAATAGATAGCCGGGGAAAAATAAATAATGGCAAGGCTTACTTCGCACGACGGTTTGGCAACGACGACGGTAGCGACGGACGACGTCGAACGTCCGATACTCCCCGGGTGATACACTCCCCCCCCCCTCCTCCTCCCGCAGACAACTCCCGTCTCTCGGATACGGTACGGACCGATCAAGCTAGGGGGCGGCGGTGGCGGTGCATGTGTTATATATATATATATATATATATTCTTATTTTTTTTTGTTGTCCGCTCCGGTGGCTAAGTATGGCATGCATACCTACTCCGTAGAGTACTTAGCTTGACTTGTCCCGAGGCTGTTCACAGCTGGGCTGCCGCGGCTTTTTCCCCGGTCTTAAGTATGTGTTTGCCTGACTTAGCTTTATTGTTGTGGACTGATTTACTCGAGTACTCAATTACTTTCAGGAGGATGAGGGTAGATAGATGGAAGAAGGAAAAAAAAGGTTCGGAGTAAAAAAAAAAAAAGAAAAGAAAAGAAGAAAAAAGAAGGGGAAAAAAACGATAACTATTGCTTTGTTTACAATGCTGAAATAAGCAAATAAGCGAAGAGGTGTCACAGTTCCTAAACAAGCAGGACCAGCTTAGCGAATGGTGGTCTTGGGCAATGGCAATGGCAATAGCATGCCAATCCGGATATTTACTTAGGGAGTGGTATTTACTTGGGTTCTGGTATCATTTCAAATAAAATTTCATATCCTCAGTCACAGTCCGTAGGATCCCAATCCGTAACCAGATACTCGTCACATCTATCCAGATCCCCCATCCCGTCCTCGTCAATCTCAAATCCATCTACCTCCGCGTTCGCTATAATCCGTTCCCTCTTCACGCTCTTCGGCAACGGCACATATCCATGCTGCAAACTCCATCTCACCAGCAGCTGCGCAGGCGTACACGCATACCTCTTGCTCAGCTCCACGACTGTGGGATGTTTCATACGCATCGCGCGCGCGAGAGGCGCGTACGCTTCAACAACTATACCATGCGATGCGCAAAAGGTGGTAATATCGGTACGGGTATTAAAGGGGTGCACTTCAACCTGATTAACGGCCGGTACAAGTTTCGTCTTCGCGTCGAGAAGTTCTTGCAACTACCAAAAGCTGTCAGCAGGTCAACTAACTCACTTTGGCATCTCCTCACTTTCTCATTGCCAGGGATTGGGAAAACGAGACCGGGAATAATACGTACGTGTTTAACTCCAAAATTACTCACTCCCCCAGCCCTCACCTCCCCTTCCTGCACGGCATCCTCCACCGCCCGCCAACACTCCAGCCTCGCTTTCTTCCCACCATACGGACTGTGCAGCAGATACAGGTCCAAATATCCTAGCCCGCTCTGTTTGATGCTCTTCTTAATGCTCTTCCTCGTCGCATCGTACCCATTGTTTTCTTTCAGTTTAGTCGTGAACCATATATCCTCTCTCTTCAGCCCGGTGGTGTTTTGATCCGAATCCAGGTAGGACCGGATCGATGAGCCGACTTCGGCTTCATTCGCGTACCATTCTGCACTGTCGATTGCGCGGTAGCCGGCGGATAGGGCATGCGTTACTGCGTTCTTCGTTTGAGAGCCGCTGGTCATATAGACACCGAGGTGGATTCGGGGCATTTGGATGTCATTGTTGAGTCTGATGGTGCTGGCCACGCTGTAACTGGGCCTCTGGGAGGTCATGGTCTGAATATATCTTTTGGTCGGAAAGATCTTGGGTGGATTCGGGTAGAGGGTGCAAAAAGGGCGAAGAGACATTGAGAAGGCAACGGAACGGATTGAAGATCAGTACCGGTAAATCCCAGAAGGTGGGGGTGGGGCTCAAGGATGTTCGATTGAGGATAACCAGGTACGTACCGGTAGTACAGTAAGTTCTCGAGTGCTCCGAGGGGCACATTCTCGAGATTCGATGAACCACAATGACGTCACTAGATCGAGGATTGGCGGGGTAGTGAGGGGCAGTCCCAGCCCCGCATTTGGAGAGCTTCATCTGGCCACAGCATCTTTTGCAATCGATCCGCCCCGCTGATGGCGATTTTCGTACATTTCTTTTACAAATTCGTTCCATCTTACAAACCTCGACACCGTCGAAGCGAGTAAACAAACAAGAATGCCTGAGGCTGCCCAAATAAACCGCTCCCTATCCACGATCCGGACGGAGCTCGAGTTCCTGCAAGCATCGAACGTCCTCTCAGGAGCACAGTTCCAATCGATCATGGCCCAACTCCCTGTCAGTACTCCGTAGGATAGCTGCTACGTATTTCTGGGCACCACTCCAGGGGATGAGATGTTGATAGGAAGTCCGTATAGCACAACGGCCAAGCATCTGGTTACATCGACCCTCGCTACGACCCAAATCCGCAGCAGCAATTCCATCCCAGCCAGGTGGCTCAGCAGGCGCAGGATCCGAACCACCCTGCGCATCCCAAAAATCCCAAGGTAATCAATCAATCAATCAATCAATCAATCAATCTTGCCTCTGCCCCTTCAGATACCGTGTGCAAAAGAGGTTGCTTGAATGTTTGAATGATCAGTGACTGACATCGAATAGCACCACGAATGGGCACGGAACATGGCGAGTAAATTCGGGAATGCGGCCATGTTTGGAGCCGGTGCAACTTTTGGAGGCGATCTCGTTAACGATGTTATGCGAAAGTTTTGATCTAGTGACGAATGTATAGGCGATATTGTACACAATCAAGGTGAAAATATTGTGATAAACGGTCTTTCGCATCTCAGATGGATCTCAACTCGTGACCGCGCTAATGTACGCGGTGTGCGGTGGCAGAAAGCTTAGCGAGTGCCAGCCAAAGAAAATCTCGTCGACTGGGAAACAAAGCTCAAAGACGTCCGTCACATCTACCGGTATCTATCTTTCAACAAGAAATTGATGATGCCAATGCCAATGCCAATGCCAGCTGTCAACATTGGACAACTCAGAGCAAGGCAATCCAAGGCCAAAAAAAATTATGCCATTCAAGGGGTCAAGCAGTCTTGGATTTGCCAGCGCTAAATCATCTTGGAATTGCTGGTGGTCCCACCCCAGCCACCTCCTCCTCACCCCCCAACCACCCCTCTCATGCTCAGTATTTCTACAACCAGAACCATATCATATCTCTCAAGCACGCATATCCAGACACACCCTCACACCTCTTCTGTACATTATTTACGCATTCTCACAGCGCCCAGTACTTCTGACTGTCTTTACTTTCTGACTTCCAGCTCAGCAGTAAGTACCATCGCAGACTCTCGGCACGCTGGGCTACCGGTATTCTGTACCTATTGAGCGTTGGTTCCTTTTCTGTACATCACCTTCTTCATATACATAATGTTTTCAAAGTCGATTGTCACCATCGCAGCAACCCTATGCGAGCTCGCTGCTGCTCAAACTTTCTCCGCCTGCAATCCTCTCTATTCGAGTAAGTCACCTTGTCGCTCTGAATCTGCAGCCGCTGACGGACATTCAAATAGCCGGATGTCCTGTAAATACAGCTTTGGGAAGGTCAATTAGTGTCGACTTCACGAAAGGCTCCGTCAACTCCTTTACAGCCGTCGGAGATACTACTTACGACTCGAATGGCGTCCATCTCACAGTACGCAAAGGCGGAGATGCTCCCCAACTCACCAGCGTATTCTACATCATGTTTGGAAGGGTTCAGTTCACAATGAAGTCGGCTCCTGGTGCGGGTATTGTGAGCTCACTGGTTCTGCAATCCGACACCCTCGACGAAATCGACATAGAGTGGTTGGGTGCAGATGATACGGAGATGCAGACCAATTACTTTGGCAAGGGCGATGTTACCTCATACAACCGAGGAGCTTACAATCCTGCGCCCAACAACCAGGGCGAGTTCATATCGTATACCATCGATTGGACTGCGGAGCAGATAACTTGGTCTGTTGGGGACCAGGTGGTTCGGGTTCTCACACCAGCTGACGCGGATACCAATCAATACCCGCAATCCCCTATGCAAGTAAAATTTGGGGCATGGTCAGGAGGAGACCCTGCGAATCCTGCCGGAACTATTGACTGGTCCCGAGGACCGACTGACTACTCTCAAGGACCATTTACCATGTCCGTAAGATCCATTCAAGTCACCGACTACTCGACCGGGACCCAATACAAATATGGCGATACTAGTGGTAACTGGCCATCGATCGAAGCAGTGGGTGGGAAAGTCAATGGAAACATAGGCGCAGCAGGATCACCAGTGGCAAGCGCAGACATCCCCGCCATCACTTCACCCTCCCCACAAATTCCCGTCGGACTCGGCGAAGACGAAGACTCGGCCGCCAGACAGACTGGCTGGCCTTGGGTTGCTACCACAACCCTCACAACAGTAGCCGCGACCAGCGCGCCTGGAGTCCCTTCCGGATGGGTTATAACCTCTGAAGGGAAAGTGGTGCCTGCAAGTTCTGCGGCAGTACGTACGTCCACACCCTCCCTCCTTTTATGTTTTGATCCCCGCATATGATGGCCAGCGACTAACAAGAAGACAGGTTCTAGCAGCTTCAACCCTATACTACTCAGCGGACCCATCGCCCTCGGTCTTATCGCCGCCACTAGGTGGCGGCTTTGAAAGGTCAACCGGCTGGGACGACCGCGGTTTTCCAACGACATACACCAGAATATCTGGCTGGGAGACGCAAGTAGAGAGTTTTGACGGCCAGGGATTTTTCATCACAGCTGCTCCGACACCGATGGCGACGCCTGTTGGTGCTGCGACGCAGGGAGCCTGTTTTGGGCTGAATAGTGGAACGAATGGGAAGGTTGTGGGCACGAGTCGCTCGAAAGCTGGTGGTATTATGCAGCAGGCCCCGAATTTGAGAGGTGCGGCCGTCTTGGGGGTGATTGCTGCGCTAGAGAGGCTGCTGCTATGAACAAATACTGAAGTTACAGGTGATCATGGCTTGAAGCTGGGAATGGGATTAATGGGTGGAAGGAGAATGGGTTAGCTGGCTGGCACCGGACGTAATGATGTAATGATACACACGATATAGATTCGAGCGAAATACCCAATGTATTAATTACAGCGTCTGTCAATCTGATGTCCCCTTCGTCGACCGGCACTTCCAAAAGCTTTCGGGACCACGTCGAACAACAGGCGCTGCTAGTTAATAGTCGCCGATGACCGACCGACCACTCTCTCATTTCAGTTCTCTCTCTTTATCTTTGTCTGACAAGATTACGTCGTATAATGAATGAATGGCCAGCCAGCTTCTGCAAACAATACCGCTCATTCATCATAATCTGATTCTTCCTCTTCCGGACGCTGTAAGATTCGGGGGTTTTTCAAATTAGCGGCTTGTTCACCAAGTTCAGAGTTCAAAGTCGAGAAAGGCTTTTGAAATTTATTTTCTTCTTTCCTCTTTTTTCTTTCTTTCTTTCTTTCTTTCTTTTTCTCTTCCGGAGCCAAAGGGGGGAAAGAGTTGATGGATGGATGGGTGGGAAAGGAAAGATTGAGGTGAGAGCTTACTTTTCTGTGGTCCTTCTGTAGATCGGAAAGAGTAAGTAAGCGAGTGAGCTTGGTAAGGGTGTATGTGTGTATGTGTATGTGTGTATGTATGGATGGATTCGTGGATGCCCTTTTCTTGACAAGAATGGAGATGGTAGAGACGTCTTGGGAATTAATCCCTTCTGAGAGGTGGGATGGATGGATGGATGGATGGAGAGAGGAGGGGATAAGAAAGCGTGTTTTTTTTTTTCGGGCGAGCTGGAGACTAACGAGCGAATGGAATGGAATTACTTACGTGTTTGCGATTCTTGGAGTGTTTCTTCTTCCTCTTCTGGATGACCTCATCGTCGTGGTCGTGGTGGTGGTCATCATGGTGGTGGTCATCATGGTGGTGGTGGTCATCGTGGTGGTCGTGGTGGTGGTGGTCGTGGTCGAAGTCGAAGAAGCTCCTGCTCTCCGGCGCGGGGTCCCGTGTCTGCAGCGAGTTCTTTGGTGCAGGATGTCGTCCCGGACGGTCTGGAAGGGACAGTTTCTGGTCTGGGAAGGACAGGCCGCGAGGGAAGGTGAGAGGGAAAGTGAGAGGGAAGGTGTGGACCGGGAGGAGCGCTGTGGCGAGGAGGAGGAGGGGTGAGGTGCTGAGGTGCATTGTGTATGGCTTATGGATTTTGAACGATCGATTGGCTCTTGAAGATGGTTTAGAGAGTGACTTGAGGTTGAGTGTGAATAGATAGGTAGGAGTTCTACGTATGCATGAGGGGAACACGGAGAGCAAAGATTCTGGACGGGTTTGTATGAGCTATTATATACTTCGCTCGCAGGTCTAACTAATGAATCCTTTGGAAGCTTAAAACATTTTTCTCGTTTTGACCCTTTCTACTTCTGGCTCGCGAGAAGAAGAGGATTCTAATACTCTAACCTTCTTAAGGAATCATTGATTAGGCCGGCGGGGAAGTACAGGTATAAAGTTGTAGACATCCCAGACGATCACTTCGTAGGGGGAAAAAAAAGCTGGGATAACCGAGAGCTCTTAGGTAAACAACAGGCAGCACTGGCTACCTATTAACAAGAAGACTTTAAATCAGATATTGCTATTGCTTGTCTTTAATATCAGCAAGTATCTAAAACTCTCCCGTCGCATTTTGCAAACGGGTCAGCTCGTGAAAAAGCTGAGAGAGTCTTTCTGATTTATTTATCTATCTACCTATCAACCTACCTACCACTACTTACTAGTAGTGGTATGTAGTAATAAAGGTAAAAAGGGGGGTGTTTACATTCAGCGCTTCTCACCAATCTTTAGCGACAATTCCACAGCCTATCACCCTGTCCTTGCAGCGCTAGAGAGCAGCCCTGGATAAAGCTCAAGACACAACTTGAATTTCGCGATTACCCCAAAGACACCATCATCAATCACGCCGCCCATCCACACCCACCACCGCAACAATGGGCTGGCTCTGGGGCTCTTCCGGCGACGACAGCAACAAAGATAAAGATCCCCTCCGCAACCTCGACCCCGGTCTACGCGACTTCCTCAAGAAAGAATCCCCCGTAAAATACAGCTCCTCAAACCCACCAGCAGCAACAGCAACAGCACCACAACCAGCTGCCGTACCCACGCCCGCCCCCTCGCAGACGCCCACCACGACATCTATCTCCGCAGAGGACACCGGGCCGCAAGTCCCATCTCAGAGCCTGTACAAGGACGGGCGATACGCGCACCTATGGAAGACGTACCAGTCGCAAGCCGACGCCGAATCGACGGCCAAGTCTGACCAGGAGAAGATAGACGACGTGCTGCAGGGCTACAAGGACCGGAAAGCCGGGATCGGGCGGGCGGCGCTGGAGAACTGCGCGATGGAGCAGTGGGAGGTGAACGATTGTTTTTCGAACGGATCGTGGAAGAGCCGGCTCACCATGTGCAGCGCGGAGACGAGGCGCATGGAGCGCTGTTACATGATGCAGGGGGTAGGTATGCTCTCAGCACGCGCGCGGTGTTGGACTGACTGGACGACGACGACGACGACAACTGGTGATGAATGGGATCCATGCTGATGGTTGGCGGTGCAGAAATTCCTAAAGGCTTTGGGATACCTCTCGACTTTTGACCGGCCTCCCGAAGTCGACGAGCAGATCCAGATGCACGCCGATACGCTCTACCACCGCATGCTGGCGCAGGAAAAAGCCATTGAAGACGCTAAAACCGAAGGGAAACCCGTCCCTGAATTTCCGCCCTTGCTCTCCAAGTCCTCGTCCAAGTTGTCTGGGGCGGAGCATCTGAGTGAGGAGGACAATCAACTACAGGTTTCGGATCTGCCGAGAAAAATGCAGGCCGAGTTCAAGAAGAGGTTAGAGGGGCTGAGTGACGAGGAGAGGGAGGTCGAGCAGAGAGCTATAAAGGCCGAGATTCAAGCTGGTGAGCAAGTTGCAAGGAATTTAGGAGGGGTTTTTGAGAAGCAGGCGGAGGAGCGGCAGGCGAGGAAGGAACAGGGGAAGGAGACCATTGGGGATAAGCTGGCATCGGTCTTTGGATTCCGGTGACAACAAGTTTGATGCTTGTGGACTGTAAAAATAAAGATGATAGTGGGGATACGGATATGGGAAAGCAGTGCGAGGGCCATACTATGAAAACTGCCCATGGGCGGAAGAAATGCTCTCTGGAATTGGGTAGATGGGATTCCCTTCACTGGGGCCTGTTTATGTGTTGGCACAACGGTACGGATATGTACAAAGTACTTTGGACATGCATATGAATGCATTTGAAAAGTGAGGGGCTCATCCCTAGGACACACGATGTCAAGTCTCTTCTACGAATGCAGGAAGCTCCTTTCTCCAATCTTGGAAAGATGGGCTTCAAAGGCTTCCCCAGTTCATTCCAAAGACTTGTCGTTTCAGATATTATCATGCCGTCGACTCTCAGACCAGAGCTTCCTCTCTCTCCCCTTCACGAGGATGCCTTCGCCCTCATCTTCTGGATGTGATTCGTATGTAACGCTTCCACCGCCGGAATGATCAGGCTCTCAATCTCCATCTCTGGCTCTCCCTCGGGCAGCTCACTGGGGTGTAACGGTCTGTCCCCAATGTCCTCGCCACTCGCCGCGACTCCGACCGTGTTTCCAGTTAACGAAAACGTCTTCTTTCTTCTATGCCTCGGTAGCCTGATCCACTGATCTTTCTGTCCCGGTGCCACAAACACCACTTCCCACTTCCTCGTGGATAGTAAGTTCCCAATCACCAAGTGATGCTGATACCTATCCAACGAGTACTGTGCTTTATGTACCAGAATCTCCGGATCCGTCTCCAGCTTGAACGACACGATCATGCCCTCGGGCGCCCACCCATCAACCAGATTCTTCAAGAACTTCGGCACAGGGTCCAAATCCACAATCAACCGTTTACTCCTCGGCTCCTTGGGCAAGGAGTCAAAATTATCAAACGTCTCCTCCTCCTCTTCCTTTTCCCTCTCCGCCTGCTTGTCCGTCGCATTCGTCGACTGTATCTTATGCTCCACCATGCGCTCCGGCGGCACGAAGAAATCCGACACCGCAGCCGCCAAATACAGCAGCCCATTCGGCCCCAGCGGTCGCATCAGCTGCGCAATCGCGCGCAGCACGAATAGGTAATCATTAATCGTCGTGAACGGCAGCGTCAGCAGCCGGTTCTTCTCCTTGGCCGAATTGTACTTCCTCAGCACCGTCAGCATCTTCTCGCGGTACTCCTCGTTGGCGACCACGTCGCCACCGGGGCCCTCGTGCAGGAAGTCGAGGAAGCAGTCCGTCGCGTGGCTGTAGTGGCGCGAGTACGGCAGCAGGGAGAACTGCCGGTGAAGGAAGATGACCGCGTAGCCGGACTCGAGGAAGTACTCGGCCGACGTCGCGCCCCGCGTGCCCGCGCTGAAGTTGTCGATGAAGCGCACCGTCTGCCGCTCGAGCGGCACCGTCGTACCCCCCGAGGTGACGAGGACCACGCGCCGGCCCGCGGCGGCGTGGTCGTTAATGAAGCCCTCTGCGAGCTTCGTGTGCAGGGCGAGGGTTTTCGGGGGAGGGTTCTCGCCGAAGTAGTCGCGCTCTGCGGCGTCGGCGCTGCTCATTTCCGGTCGCGGGTTCGAATGGTTCGACATTGTACTCTGCGATGAGGAGCTAGAGGTTGAGGAGACCGAGGTCGAGAAGATGGAGCAGGTGGGCGAGGAGGAGCGCTGGGCGAATGTCAAGCTCAAGCCCAAGCTCAAGCTCAACGTTGAGTCTGAGAAGGAAGGCGGGGTTGAGCTCGAGGAAGTGGAGTATTGCGGTGCAGTGGGATGGGGTGCGGGGTCTACTTAGTAATGCGAAATCTTTAAAGGTTCCGCTTAATAGTCGGACTTGACGTCGCAACTTTAGGGGCCCTTCCCTAGAGTGGGCGAAACAAATATGCAATCCCGTCTTTTCTTACTACTATTTCTTTTATTATACTCTTGTTAACAGGTAGCTTAAAAACAAGCAAAGATAGAATAATACGAGCGTAGAAGTGATGTAAGTATAGAAGTATGTGTTAAAAGCAAACTGATCTTGAAGGTTTTAAAAAGCACTGGCGAATTACTGTAATAAATAGTCAGTGCGCTGACTTTTTACCTGAATTATAGGCCGAATGGACATAAGGATGTAAGTCTGACAAACTGGGTAGCCCCGAAGACCTGATGGTGCTCAGCTATGGCAATGTCGCTCTACATTTACGACGGCCATACATGAAAGACCGAAATCATGAAAGGGAGAGGACTCGATTTAGCGAGAGACATAGGGGGCTTAAGCGAAACGGTGTCTTTCCCCTTCAGGTATCAACACGCCACATGCTATTCTGGAGTCTTATTTCTAGGGCCAAACGTGCGATCAACACATCGACCAGTTCAAAATGAATCGTGGGCAGGGGCTCTCGTGAAGCTTGCTCTTGTTCGGATGAAATACGATTATAATTCTTTGCACAATCAACGGAGGCCCCCCATAACTCACGCAATATGCCCTTCACGATCAACCAGCAGACCCTCTCTTCTCGCTTGCTTGATCGCCTTCCTCTTCGCAGTTCCAACACCCGCAACACCGTGCTCCTGGTTATTACCCAACCAAGGCTTCTTGCTATCCCCGAGAATGCTACCCGCCAAGAAGTACGTAATAAGCCCCAAAATGATAAGGACGAACGCAATTGGGTATAGGTAGTGAATGGAGTAATGAAAAACCTCGATGCCGATGATGACACCCCAGAAGTTTCCAGTGAGAAGCGAAATGTCGAAAAAGGCTGCCGAGGCCATTCGCAGAATGAGCGGGGCAAGCGTGTAGAATAGAGACAGGATGAAGGTATACCCAACAATATAGCCAGCAACGACGCCATCCCAGTGGGCGTGTTGGAAGGAGCTACGGTCGAAGATGGCGGCTGTGATTCCGTTTATAATGATCCCGAAGAGGCCAAGCATGCCGAGGACTTCGTACATGGGACGCTTGGAAACGAACCACTCCTCGAAGACGTTGGAAAGACCGTACAACGTCGCACCTGCGAGACCAAAGAGGTCACCCTTGAGCATGGTGGGGGGACTCCCACCGTTCGAACCAGTAATGTGGTCTGATGCGAGGAGAAGTCCCATACCACCACAGCAGACAAGAATACCAACGATCTGAGCCCACTTGTAGCGGACGTGGAGGACAAGGAAGGAGAGGATCACAACGCAGACGATGGACCAGAAGTTGAGGAGTTGAGCCTGGGAAAATTATTAGCTAAACGTTACTGGCATAGAATGGAGCTATTTTTACCGAGAGAAGGTTGGTATATCTGTACGCCAGTACCGTGAAATAGTTACCCTCAACATCCATGAACGACAAGATGACGTATTTCCAGCCGTCGATCCACAGTAGCTTAAAGTACTTTTTGAATCCATATTTGTAGACCGTATAGGTAGTGTAGATGAAAGTGAGCAAAACGTAGTTGAACAGCGTTTGGAAAGCTGGGATGGAAGTTCCCCTGTTGACCAGCAGAGTCGAGAAGGTATTAGTTCCAGTGATACAGAGCGCAAGGACTTGTCTGTAGCGATTATCAGCATTAGGATCAATCATCAGGACATTGGTTCATACCCAAGAGCCAATACGATCCAGAAGTCCCTCGTAGTAAAGTACGAGTACCATGCTTTCTTCTTCCCTTCAATCGCATCCAGTCCTTGGCCTAAAATCTCAGGCGCAATCTCATCGTCTCCAACACTTCTCTCCCCAACCACATCCAAGCTTCTGGTCTCATTCGTCTTGGGAGAACTCACGCCTGCCGGCCCAGTCTCACCTGTCTCTATTACTGTATGTTGTTTAGCCGCCATTGTGTCGCTATTATCTGCTTGGAATTTTTGATCCACATCTGCGGACTCGCCGTCCAAAGTATATACAAGAAGTGGTTGACGCTCGTGAGAAGCCGTAGTGTGAGAGCGCTTGTCGTAATCCTAGTGCCAGTAAATAGCTTATCGGAAGCGATGTCGTCACGAAGTCTTTCTTCCCAAGAACAGTAAGCGCAAAGACTCCAAGTCGCCTACTGGTGTCGTTATGATTGTCTAGTCGTCATTGACAGTCTGTCAATAAGGGACAACAGACGGATCGTGTCAAGATAAGAGAAAAGACGAGGCGCAAAGGTGGAGGGGATTATATGTTTTTTGCTAACCCTCGGTTCGTGGTTAGCGCCGGCCAAAAAAAAGTCGCCTAAAAGCTAATGATCACCGTGTGCCGCTCCGAAAAGTTTTTTCTGCATTGTGTAAGCATATTTACTCTTGGCTTAAAACCTTCCACCTTCTCGTAGTTGTGAGCTTCCAGTTGGGTTTTTCTTCTTGTGCACTTTTGGTAAGATAAAATCAAAATTGAAGGGAGCTCAGAGAATTGTTATTATTGTTTTGCCGAGTCGGGTTCGCTGGCCCGTCCACCGCCTATTGTCTCTTCTGCCAAGGCTCTGGGCTTACCATAACGTAGGCACTCTTCCAGCCTTCTTAAAGTCGAAATCTGGCTGCCATCAAAGACTCCTTTCCCCTTCCAATCTCTATCGCACGATGCCATCTATTTCAAGATGCCTTCGTCTTTCTTCCAAGCATGGTTCTGATTTAAACAAGTGTATTTCATCCGTCATTCTCGGATCAGATCAATGAAGCTCGCGTTTTGTCCGAAGACGATATGGAGGCGTACAACTAACTATATTCTCAACGATTGCAGAAAAGGGGTGACGTGCAGAATTGGAGGTAGGTAGCATCCTCGATGCCTGTGTGATTGCTGAAGGATTCGAGGCTGGCATATTTGAGTAAGGCGATTTTCAAGCTGAGTGATGGGTGTAATAAGAGGTTAAGCCTTTTGAGGGAATCGCAGGAGGTGATGGCTTAGACGACGCGACATCTGGTGTGAGTGCTGGAGTGGGCTGGAAAGTCTCGTAATCGAGGATACGGGTGCCAGGGTATAATCCAGCGCTATTACACACGAGTACGGTGAGAGTCTATTGATGTAGGTGGCTGATTACCTACAGCGGAATTAGTTGGCTGAAGGAGTATCTGTGTAAGTCTCTTGGACAGCAGATGCGAGAGAGCCAAGATAGAAATCGATGGGAGGCAGATGGCCAGCACTCCGTAGTTGATCGAAGAACTAGCGAGATAATAATAAGGGCTTGGGAGATATGACGCTATATACGGTTTAATTACCACACGAATGGTAGAGGTCACATATATGAGTTTCAGATGACAGAATCCATACAAGATAAATTGTCTGAGGACGGCAATAATACATGGGCAATGCGCTTAATGTACAGCAATAGCAAGACCACATGAATGCCAGAGAAACTGAAGTGCCGAATCGTTTAGAAGCCAGTAGGCTCGCTGCAGAGAATTCCTTGGTCCAGCTGTGAAGTGTGAGTAAGGTACCCTAGCTCCGGGGCGAGGAAAGCTCACAATTGGGAGAATGCAGCACCTATCAATCTTGCCTACGCCAGCGCAGAGGTCGTTGAAATCGGTGACGTTGGCTGGAGTACCAGGAGCTAGAGGAGCGTGGTTAGTGTAGCCCTATTCTGCCAAGTACAGGATTGTGGATGTGAGGGAAAGGAGAATTTACGAGTGATACAGTCGAGGTCTGCAACACCGAGGACGTCGACGTCGCAGCAAACCGGGGTGCCAGTAGAGCAGAGAGCCACTTGACGGTCATTGAGCACAGCTGGGAATGCGAGAGAGCTGGTAAGAAGGCTACTGAGAGCGAGGATGGGGCTGAATGAGGCTCTCATGTTGGCGGCTGTGGAGAGTATTTGAAGTGTGTTTGATGTAGAAGGCTTTTGCTTGATATCTAGTGAGGATGAGGATAAAGTGAATTTTGAGGGGCATCCGAGCTCTTTATATAGATCTCCATCGCTCTCTTGTTTCTTCGGTCTTGTATCTCTCGATCTGATCATTATAGACTGCAGCCTCGATTTCGTCGGTTCAGAGCCACCTCGCCCACTTGTTCAGGGGGGAATTTCCTGAAAATTCGTCATATTTCTGGGAATAGGAAGCGAAAATGGATAACTTGACAAGCCCTGCTATCGATCACCGAAAAAGCCCTTGGCGTCCGGATCAATTCGTTCTTCATTCGTCACGCGAAGAGAAACACCCGGCTGGATGTCACTGGAAAAAACCGTCTCCCAAAACCAGATTGTGTCTGCATGATCGATCGTCACCGAAGTTCCACCAGAGATTCAGTACTCCACTATTCTGGGTAAAGAAACTATTTGTTTGGAAGAGATCAGCATCATGCACAATATCGCTTAGGGAAGCCCCTGAATTAAGCGACCAAACTATGCAGGAGCCACAACATGGGCCACCTGAATGGCCTCTCAGCGGTTCTAGGAAACCATGCAAACATGCAGACTGGATGGACCGCTACATGTTGGTCGTCTGGAATCTTGCTCAACACTCCAGAGTCTCCTTTCTATGAACCCATTTTTGAAGCGAGACGATAGGGCAAGCTTTGTTTAAAGCTTTCTCCTGAAGAGGTGTTGCAGACCGCTGGGGGTTCCAAGTTACGAGAACTTCAAGGCAGAACCTATATTCAACTCACAAAATTGCGAGGAACAGCTCTGCAAGCATTGAGGAAAGCATCTCAACCCAGGGATACAGAAAATACTTGCTTGTTATAAACGAGCGGTAATGATCATCCTTCAGCTCATGGATTCTTCGAGTCTCCAGAACCATTGCTGTTCTATTCTAAGGCTCGGATATTGGTAGCGCCACGAAGAGCAACAACCAAACGTTGAGCCAAGAGGTAGACCAATATCAAGATGCTTGTTCAAGGGAACCAATCTTTGACGTTGCCTCCTCATCTCTTCACCCGTCTCATATTTGCATGCGTGGCGAATTTTCCCGTGGCCACGTTCATCGGCTCGCTTCGACAAGAGCCAACGTCGAGAAGATAAACCTGCCATCGAGCCGTTCCAATAAGCCGTGTAGCGAGTCGGAGGTCTCAGCTGGGTATACACCAGGATGTCTAATAACCATGATTGAATTTCTGAGGTATGACAGCCAAATTATATCGCCGTCATGTTTTCAAATTGGAATCAACTTTTTTCTGGGCAGACGAGATGTTGTGTGTAGCCACGTGACCTTGGATGCCTATGCCTTATATTCCCATAGTGTTGATTTTATCTCTTTGGCTGACTTACCGGTACTCAGTCAGTCAGCACTTAGCCCATGTCGTCAGGCATATTTACCATTCTACTCCCAACCAATTCTTGTTCCACAAATTTGTATCAATTTCAGTATTAAAATCATATCAAGATAAATGCTACTTGCTAACAATATACTTCTGCTATACCCAAGGAAGAACGCCAGTACCCCCGATAAAGCAACAGACAGCAAATGACATTCGGAGCCCTTCCCTATCCCCCCACCTCTCGACTTCATCACCACAGACATGTACCACCCGTCCTATATTGTGTAGCCTAAATGTGCTTGCACGGCACAAATCTTTGGATCCCGAACTGGCGATCCAAGAATTCGAACTGCCGTTGATTCATGATGCTCAGCGACCCAATCTTGGCCTGCAACCCGCCGTTTGCTGGCGCTTCTCCAACCCACAGCTGCTTGTCGGCTTCGTCAAGATGCCCCAAGTTCTCCATGATACGCTCCGCGTTCAATCTGGGCTCAAAGTAGATGGCCTGCTCTGCACCGGTCACCAGAACCGGGCACCGGACCTTGTCCAGATATTCGGCGCCCTCCGGAGACTGCAAGGTCATAGTCTGCATAAACCGCATCATCTCAGCGGGGCTCTGTACACCGTAACACCATTCGTTCTGCGCAAATTCCCACGCGAGCTGGAAGTTGAACTTGCTCATGAATCTGCTGACCGAATTGAAGAGGTTATCGCTTATGGTTCCGTTGAGCCATCCGTTGATAAAGAAACCCGGCATGCGACTCTTGACGATGTCGAACATATTGTAGAAGCCGTCGCATGAGATGCACGCTTTAATTCTTGAGTCCGAGGCAGCACGAAGAGCGAAGTATCCTCCCATGCTCGCTCCCAGGACTGCGATGCGGTCCAGGTCAAGTTGGAGCCTTTCGTTCTCTGGCTCAAGAACGTTGAATATGTAGTCGAGGACCTTTCCCGTCACATATTCCCAGTCTGGCCGAAGCGTCGTTCTATCGCGTCGAATCGAAAGCCCTTGACCCGGGCCATCGAATGACAGGACTGCGTATCCGCGTGGAATCGCCCCTGCAGCACCATAAAAGTACAATTCTTCGCCTGTCGAGTCCAGTCCCCCAGTCTGCAAGATGAGTGGTACGCGTCCAGGAACTCGGCTTTCAGCTGTTGGCATGTATAGTCGTGCCGGAAGCTCGAGACCTTTGTCGTACGGGATGTTGAATGACAGAACTTCCGAATCGAGGAGAGCTACACCTCGGTCGTGTGCATATGCACTCTTCTGTATAGACGCAAGAAGACGGAGATCTTGGGGGTTGAGATGCAGGAAGAACTCGCTGGATCGATAGTAGTTGGATGCACGCAGGAATGCCCATCGTCCTGCCACCTTGTCCCCAGAAGCAAGTGCCTCCTCACCAAGCTTCGACGCCTCATCGCCCCATGCGTTCCACGTCTCGTACCAAAGCTCTGGGTCGTCGTCCTTCAGTTTTGAACGAGCATCGAGGCACTCTCCAATTTCAGCACCTTGGAAAGGTGCCGATCCAAGAACGCGGAGGAATTCGAAGTCGAAGAATCCCGATTTGAAGAATTTGAACATGTTGCTGGTTTGGGGCTTAGAGCTCTTGGGTATTCTTGCGATGGAGGAATGTTGCACTATGGACACAGCTAACCATTTTAACGATCTTCTTGAGCAGACATTGTGCCAGAAGCGCTGACTTAAGAGTCTGTCAGCCGTTTCGGCGTCGGCCAATGACTTCGGGTGTATCGCATGGATCGGTGAGTTTTCGATTCAAGGAGCTGAGTAAGGTGAGACTTCGGCCCGCAAGTTTCCCTCCCCCCAAAGAAATTGAATTTTGTACGATACTTTGAATCGTTGATCAAGATGCCCAGTTGGAAGCTTCGCCACTCTCAGCGTCGCTATATCTCTCCGAAACGCGCCGACGGGCCTGGCTGGGTAGATCACGCCTGAGAAGTTACCGATTATCTTGTTACTTACTTGATGCAAATATTTTGATATTGCGTTCTCTCGTCTCGAACATCTTTCTTCAATCGCGAGCGCTTTCCTTGCACGTGCTGCCTGTCTCGCTTACGGCAGAACACCAATGCGAAAACAAAACAGCAAAAACCAAGAATGGCAGTTACCGAATCGAACAGGCGAAAAAATCTCGGGCCAATTTCGAATGCCTAGATGTTCCGTCGAGTGTGGTATGGTCTGAAGCATTTGGGTCACAGTCGATCCAACACGAGTTTGTTCTGAAGTAAGGCATCGCTCCTTATTCCTGCTGGTTGGCCGATATCACAAGAGGTTATTTTTATTTTGTACAAATTCCCCAGAAATAGTTTCGGCACAGCTCGCGACGACCGATCGGGTGAACTTAATAATCTAGGTTGACGTGCCGTTGCTGAGATAGATGCGAACATCACTCTTGTTGCCGTCCGCTTAGTCTACGATAGTGCACTAATCGTCGGCTCGCTTAGGTGGGCCTCCTTACAGCCTTTCAGAAGCAAACTACCAATCCGAGCTTCGGTCTCGTAACTACTGCAACCCTGTCGGTATATCCATATCGACCTTAGCTAGTAGTAGTAGTAGTAGTAGTAGTTGGGGAAGCT